CGACACCAGGGTGGCGCTCCTTCATCTCGGCGAAAGCGCCCCGAAAATTGACCGAGCGGCGGCCGCGGGCGTCGCGCTGAATCGCCAGCGCGCGAGGGTCGCGGCCGGCCCCCGAGCGCTTCTCCTCCATCCAGCCGTTGATGTCCCAAGCTTGAGCCCGCTTGACCGCCGCCTACCTGTCGTCGTCGATCAGGGCCAAAGCGGCCGCGCCGTTCTGCGCGAACTTCACGGGGTACACCGCGACGGCCACCGCCGCCGCCTGACCAAGCGCGCCCGAGCCTGGGTCCGAGACGATGAACTGAGCCTGCGGGCCCGCCGCAACCTGTGCCGCGCAGCCGAGCAGCGCCGCGAGGGCAGTGACCTGCCGCTGCAACGCCGTCAGCTCGTCGTCCGTCAGCGGGTCGAAGTGGCACGCGCTGCCCCGCGCGCTGTCCGGGACAGGGCGCGCGCGAGTGAAAGGGGGCCACCTGGCGCGCAGCGAGGTCGATGACCTGGAGAACGCGGGGCGGCGTGACGCGAGTCCACTTCGCCCCATCCGTGAGCTTGGCCACGAGCGCCCGATGGGGCCACCTGAAGTTGGGATCGTCGTCGAAGTTCACCGACGCCTGACGGGCCTCGAATGTCCGCAGCGACCTGCCGCGCCGCCACCGCGCCCTGCGGCGCCGCGGCCTCCACGTGTCAATTTCAACAGGCGTCGTTGGCGCCGAGGGCGGCGGGGGCGGGCCTGGCGACGGCAGAGCTACAGGGCCACCAGCAGCAGGCTGAAGAGCACGGCCAGGCCCTGGCAACTCGACGGCGCCGGCGGGGTCCTTTACGAAAGTGGCGCCGCCCGCAGCAGCTCCAGCAAGGCGGCCGTGCTCCCGTATTCGACGGGCGCAGGCCCCGACCAGTCTGGCTGCGCCAAGCAAGAGGCCCCCGATGCCCACCCACGTGCCCGCCCACCCGCCGTCGCAGCTGAGGGGCGGACAGGCCGGCACCACCGGCGCCGGGCGCGCCGGGGTGACAGGCGGCGCGCGCGCCAGGCAGGCCCGGCAGGCGCGGGGAAAGCACGCGCCCCCCTCCCAGGCGCAGTGGCCGACCCGCTCGAAGGGGCCGCGCGCCGGCGGCGACGGCGCGAAGGATTTCAGCCACGAGCCCGCGAGGGCGCCCGCGGAGGCAGCGATCGCGGCGAAAAGGCCAGCGCGAAGCATGCACTCTGATTTGAGTCGCCGAGCCAAAGCAGCTTGAGCCAAAATGACGTCGGGGGCGGCTGCGATGGTGGAGTGATGCTATGACGCACGCCCAATAACACGCATTTTTTGCGTTTAGAATTATTCGTCTGGGGAGCAGCGAAACGCTGTGTGGCGTTGGTTTGTTGTTCTTTTGTTCAAGTGCCCCCCGCGGCCTCCCCTCCGCCCCCCCCCCCCTTCCCCAATCCCCCCCCTTCGCCCTCCCCCCCCCCCTCCGTGCTGCAACGCAAGCAAGCGCCAAGAATAGACAAGCGATTGGAGCACTCGGATCCACGATGCGCCGCGTTTTCGCGCGGTTGCATTTCCGGCATGGGAGCAAAGACGCACTGCGTGGCCCCCCTTGTTTGGGAAAAATCAAAAGATCCCCGGCCCCCCCCCCCAGCACAACGTCATCATTGTTTTCCGGGGCATGCCGAACCAACAACATGCACAGGAGAAAACAAACAATCAGTGGGTGGCTTGAACGTTACTGATAATTATAGCGTGATCGATGGTGCGATCGATCGCAACGGCCATCTAGTTCATGGCCACCGACGCGGCCGCGGTGGCGCTGCGGGCCTGTCACTGCCAGCCGGCGACTTGGATGGGCGGGCACCATGGCAACGTCGACAACGGTAGACGCGACGCTGATGATAGCGATGCTGGTGGCGCTGTTGCTGTTGACACCGGCGAAAGCGCGGCCAATGCGGGCGCCGATGCTGATCGCGCCGACGACGATGACGGCGCCCTCGCGTCGTTCGGCACGCGCGCGCGGCCGACGCGCAGGAGTGGCCCGCATGGTTTTAGTAAGCGCGGATCGCGCACCCGCCCCCCCCCCCCCCCACGCGCCCCACCCAACGCGCGCAAGGGCGCGCGAATGATGCCAGCATGCGGCGCCAGAGTCCCACCAGCCCTCTGGGCGTCGGTGGTTTAGAGCGTTTCCTCTTCCACCCCTCCCTCTTCCCCTTCGGGGAGGGGTTTACCCCTCCCCCTACCCCCTCCCCACTGACCTGGACAGGGGGTTCCGCGGCGCGTTGGAGTGCCCAAGATGGCCCAAGACGGCTCCAAGAGGGCCTCAGGGAGCCCAAGATACCCTCCAAGATGGCTCAAGATAGCGCAAGATGCCTCAAGATGGTCCCCATGATGTTCCAAGACGTTCCAAGAACTCTCCAAGACGGTTCCATGTGCCCACAAGAGCATCATTAGGATGCATCCAAGAGGCCAAAATGTTTCAAAACCCTGAGGAAAATCAATGTTTTTGGTGCTCTCACTTTTTCGCTTGCGATGCACATCCGAGGCGTCAAGATGGCTCCAAGATGGCTCAATATACCTCCAAGAAGGGCCCAAGAAAACCCCATGACGGCGCCAAGAGCGCCGAAGAGCGCTCCAAGAGCGGTACTACAGGAAACGATGTTTGGAGTTCCTGGGGGGGGGCTCTAATTAAGGAACCCTACTTCCTTGACCGATGTCCTCCAATATTGCCCCAAGAGCGCCCCAGCAGGGCCTTCAAAGGCGCCCAGACGGGTCCAAGAGGAACCCAAATCTCCCAAAATAGCTTCCCAAAAAGTCCCACCAGCCCTCTGGGCGTCGGTGGTTTAGAGCGTTTCCTCTTCCACCCCTCCTTCTTCCCCTTCGGGGAAGGGTTTACCCCTCCCCCTACCCCCTCCCCACTGACCTGGACAGGGGGGGCCGCGATCAGTCAGAGCGTCCAAGATCGACCCCTGGGAGGGCTAAAATTCGACACCCCTCACGAGGATCGGGGCTCCTGAGGGGGGGGCTGAAATTTAGGAACCCCCCGTCGTTGATCGATCTCCTCCAAGATGGTTCCGAGAGACGTTTTGGACCCCCTCTTGGGCCCTGCGCGCGGGCGGGCAGAGCGCCGCCCGCCCGCCCGCAAGGCCCAAGAGCCCACCAAAACGTTCGAAGACACTTCCAATACGCCACCAGGGAGGAGGAAGAGGCGGAGGAGGAGGAGGAGGAGGAGGAGGAGGAGGGCGAGGAGGAGGAGGAGGAGGAGGAGGAGGAGGAGGAGGAGGAGGAGAGGGAGGAGGAGGAGAGGAGGAGGAGGAGAAGGCGGAGGAGAAGGAGGAAAAAGGGAGGAGAACAGCTGCCGATCATCGGCGCTCTTCGTTCGAGTGCCTGGTGTAGGATGGGCTGGTGGGGATTTTTTTAAACAGCCGCAGGCGGAAGCGCCGGCGGCGGCGGGACACGGTCGGGCTGCGGCCGTGACAAAGTAGCCGGGCGCGCGCGTGGGCCGCGGGTCAGGCGGCGGTGCAAGCTGCTGCCCAGGGAGTCTGAAGGGAAACAGCCACCCAGGAAGCAGGGAGGTCGCTGCCAAAATGGCGCGACGCACATCCCCAGTCGAGGATCGTGTCGGTCCGACGATCACGAAGGTAGTGGGGATCAGTCTCCGTGCATGAGGGGCGTCAGAGAGCCCAGGGTGTCTGTCGGGTATGAGCGAGACCGCAGGCAAAAGAGCTGACGTTGTGCAGCAGGGAGAAGGTCTCTGACAGCGCCAGCGAACCGTCGCAGCTTCAGAGAACGCGTCCACGCGGCAGAAAGGGTACGCCTGAAGTCATTGACAACCGGAGTCAACCTCAGAACAACTGCGGAGGAATGCGTCTGCACGCGAAAGATCAACGACATGATGTGACGCAGTGCAGGGGTACACCTGTCCCCGACCTTGGCGAGAGACACGACGGCCAACTGAAGGTGACAGGGCGCGTACCAGGAAGCAACTAAGTGACATAACAAAGAGCGGCTCGCCATCCACGCTGGGGTGCCAGAAAGAGGAAAAGCGCTCTGAGAAAGCTGCGCTGACGCATACCCACTGCATCACAAGCAATCCGTAGTCACGAAGAGGCCCAGGTAAACCTGCGTCCCATGAGCAATCCTAAGCACCGTGGTACACGCATAGCATAGCAAGACCTGCGAATACATAGCAATGCAACCGAGCAGGATGGACCACACTCAATGCCAAAGATGTACCCAGGGTGCTCGAGCGCAGCCAATGGCGAGTGACACCGGGACAATGATGGTGGCGCCAGCGGATGCGACGCATGACCAACAGTCATCCGAAGTGTGCCACCTGTGACACCTGTGGACCTGTTGGCAACGCCCGGAGCCAAGTAGGATAGACCACACCCGACCCTGTCGCGACCGCACAGAACCTAAGCTGCGTAAGGCTGCCCGCTGGAAGGCCGGGTCACGGCCACCAGGAGAAGCAGGAGTGAATTAGGGTGCGGTTCCGGACAGTGACGAGGCGAAGCCATCTTTGCGTTGGTCATAGAGCCGCGAGGCCGGGGGACGAAGTCCAACAGGGCCAGAGGTGAAAACAACTACAGCGGGGCCAGGGGCCAACTAGGGCCTGCACGCAACACGCCCCAGCGCTGTCATGCAGACGGTATTGCTGGTAAACACACTTAAATCCAAAGGCAGGAAGTGCGTGTACCAGGGAGGGCGGCAGAAGGCCGACACACGAGTATATGAAACGTAACCCAGGGAGGCAGCTGAAGGCTGCAAGAAGTGTGGACTTTAGAGAAACCCAGGGAGCTTTAAGGCTGCCCGCTGGAAGGCCGGGTCACGGCCACACCCAGGAGAAGCCAGAGTGAAATAGGGTGAAACAAGGGCGGGGCGCCCGCGGCTTTAGGTGACGACCTTCCACTGTTTCTGGTCCTTCCCGGGCGCGCGGCGACCAGCGTGGCCCTTCGCCGCCTGGCGCCCCCTGCCCGCGCCTTCACTTCCACCCAAGTACATTTCGGCCACATCTCCCGCCTCTACACCGAGACCGCCCCCGGGACGCTGATAGGATTGAGGGGCTGTAGGAACGCCTGCTTGGTTGTCTCCTGGACGGGAAGGCACCGGCGCGCTGTGGCTGACGACCACTTGTTCGGTTTGTGGCTCTCCCAGGGGACTATTGCAGCTGAAGGCCGCACGTTCCTGTGTGAACTCCTGACTCAAGTCGGTGCCCCTGGAGAATACCGATTGGGCCAGTGCGAGGCTGGCACGCCTAGCTACACCCTCTGGGCGCAGACACTGTCAGACGCAAGAAAAAGACTCATTGCCGGTGAGACGGATCGTCAATCATCGGGGCGTACGGTGCAGGGCAGAACGCCGGCAGCACTCCTCCACCCTGCTTCAAGCCCCCCTCCTGCTCCTGTCAACCCCCCCCCCGGCACGCCGCTGGAGAAAAGCACGCGCAGCAACCATGCGGTCGCCCACACGAGCCCGGGGCCCCAAGAAAGAGCCCAAGCGCCGGAGGCCTTCCCCCGCCACTGGGCCACCAGGCAAAAACAGGAGCGAAAGTCGGTGCCCCTGGAGAATACCGATTGGGCCAGTGCGAGGCTGGCACGCCTAGCTGCACCCTCTGGGCGCAGACACTGTCAGACGCAAGAGAAAGACTCATAGCTGGTGAAGCGGATCGTCAATCATCGGGGCGTACGGTGCAAAGCAGAACGCTGGCAGCACTCCTCCTCCCTGCTTCAAGTCCTGCTGGCCCCTCTGAAATACCCCATTTCCACTCCTCCCCGCTGGTGGCGCGCCTTCCCACGCCCAGGGGCTCCGCGTGGTCACCGAGTGCCACGAGAGGATAAGATGTGCAGATCGAAGGCGCACGTGCGCTCAAGGGGGCAAGCGCGGGGCGCGGCGCCCAGGCCGCGCCTTCAGGCCGTGAGAAGGACGACGCGCTGAGGCGCGTTTGCAGGAGGCGCGCGTGGGTCCTGGGAGCTCCCCAAAGCGGTGCAGACGCGCCTTCAGGCGCACCTGCACGACGACCTTTACGCAAGGGCGTGCAAGCCGACTTCAAACGCACGCGCAAAGGCCACCGTGTGCGGCAACGTGCAAGAAAGCAGTCGACTCGTGCACCACAGGCCGCGTGGGGGGAGGGTGCGTCCTCCTCCTCCACCTCATTTCTTCCATATATCCCCATCTGCCCCAAAGGCCCATTCTCCGCGCACGGCTCAGCTGCCGATGAGGCCGCGGGTCACAAACTCCACCAGCCGCACCACCTTGGGGGGCGGAAAGATACGGATACGTGTTGTCCCCGGACCTCTCTTGGGGTGCGTTCTGACCAGAATTTCGAGGCGAATCCAGCGGTGACAACGAGGATTCCCCAGGAGGACCAGGAAAGGCCGAAAACGAAGGGGGACAACACGTATCCGTATCTTTTTCTCCCCCGACCACCATGTCGCCGCGGCGCTTGCTGCGGCAGTACGTGACCATCTCCTTCCGGGTCGCCGGCAGCAGCGCGAACAGCTCACGGGAAGCCTCGAAGTCCTCCACGGCGCCAGGGTCGGCGGGGCCGCCTCGGTCTTGGCCACTGGCGATCAGCAGCGCGCGGGCGTTCTGCAGGCGATCAAGCCGGAGGAACTTGGCATCCTGGTGCGCCGACGTGTCGAGGGTGCAGACGCCCGCGACCGAGACCGAGGGTCCGCCCTCGCTCTGGAAGAGCCAGGGCAGGTCGCACGCCGCCTGGATCGCCACGGCGCCCCCGAACGAGTGCCCGACCAGGAAGACCCAGAAGCGCTCTGGGCACAGGTCGGGGTCCGTCCGCGCATGCACCTCCGCGACGGCCTCCCGCAGGGTGAGGAGCACGTGGGCGACGGCGCCGTCGGTGGCCAGGCTCGCGCTCGGGCACTCGAGGTGGCGGCAGTCGACGTCGGGGAACCTCGCGATCTCCTGAGCGGCGACCTCGAAGAGCGCGCCGTGGAAGGGGTCGTCCTGCTGACCCTTGGCGTCCGGCAAGAAGAAGACGATGGAGTGGTTCCAGGCTTCGTCCGTGCCTGCTTCCACCGTACTCTCGCTCTCCTCCCTGGTGAGCGGCGCGACGCCGCACGCCGCCGTTTTGGGCCTCCTCGGCGCAATCCCCGCCGGACGACCTTTCCGGGTCGTAGCCGCAGAGGGCGGTGATGCTCCAGAGCTCCGGCGGCGCCTTCTTGTGAGCCACCGCCTCGAAATAGGCGTCGCTGCGTTGGCAGTCGACGACCGGCGAGCCGCAGACTGGCAGCGAGAGGTCCACGGGCCGCAGCCGCCGCGGCAGCTCGGAGACGCTGCCGCACATCGCTGGGAGCTGCCTGCCGCCCGCGCGGCTCCCGTCCGCAGTCGGCTGCGGTCAAAGGGCGGCGCGGCGGCGGCTCGGCGCTCGGGGCCGAAAAACGGCTTGAGCCAAAATGGCTACGGGGAGTGGTGGGGATACGCGAAGCGTCAAGAATTTCATGAACATGTTGACAGACCCAAGGTTTTCTCAAGAATGCGCAAGAGCGCGAGCGCACGCTCTTGAAAACGGACATTCCGAAACTATTTGTTGTTGTATGTGTTACAAGCATTCGGCTCTGCAATCGTTACGAAGCCGTCGGTTTCTGACGGACTTCGACATGCGCGCGACGACGCGCGCGCGCACTTCGCCCGATGTTTTGCAAATCTCTCCCCCGACGGCACGCGCGCAAAGGCGCTCGAACAATTTCGGCATGCGCGCGCGAAGCGCGTTTGGTAGCATTTGATGACAATGGCAAAAATTGGAAAACCGATCGTTCTCTTAAGAACTTTATAATCGCGCGCATTCTTGCTTGTATAAATAGAAGTGCTGCGAAACCATTTGTTTTTTATATAGATTGCGACTCTCAACTTAGAAATCCTTACGTCCCCGCGGGTTTTGGAAAAATTCCGGCATGCGAGCGCGACGACGCGCGAGCGTGCACTTCGTCCCATTTGTTTGTGAGGGGTTCTTGAACATTTACGACGTGTGATGACCAAGTAGTGCGTGCATAATGTATGTTGTAGAGGATGGCGGGGAGGCGCCGATACTGGTTGGGCTGGCATGGTACGGGGTCATATTCAGGATGGACGATGGGCAGAAATGGTATGTGAATTGCAAAGCGAAAAGGATGGCCGATAACCCGTGGAGGGGGGATCGAATCTGGTTGATTGTGAGATCGATAGAGAAATTGGTAATGGGATCTATGGTGAGACCAGTCGATAAAAAGAGCGACCAAGAACCAGGGAGGCCGGAAACCCAGGAACCCTGCCGCCCGCCGAAATCGGCCCCGACCCAACAACCAGGACCCTGGGAACCTGAAGCCCAGAGCCCGGAGACCTGGCCGTCCATCGAAATCGGTCGGAAACGTTTGTCAAATCTTTTAAGTAGGTCAGAGAAAGAAAAAAAATGGTTTGAAACATTTCTGATATGGACATTGAGATGGATTGTGAGATCGAAAGCGGGATCGATTGTGGGATCCATAGTATGGTCGGGTCGATCTTGAGGCCGATCGTGAAATCGAGCCACTGATACCGATAGTGAGATCGATCATGAGATCAGCCGTGCGACCGATAACTAGATCGATCGTGAGATCGCTCGTGCGATCAATAGTGAAATCTAGTGTGAGATGGATACAGGAGTGGGCACTGACACCAATGGTGAAACCGATCCGTTAAAATATCGACCAAGAACCAGGGATCCAGAAGCCCAGGAAGAAGGAGGGGGAACAGGGAAGGGGAAAAAGGAGGAGGTGCTAGGGGGAGAGGCCGCGGAGATCCCTTTAGCTTCCAAAGCCAATATGTGTTTCGTTGACTCCCAATCCAAAAATGCCAAGCATGAAGATACACAGCGCTTCGTTGCACCGAGGGCGCCGTACACTGCATATTCTTGCCGTTCGGCTTTGTGACAAGGAGGAGGGGGGGACAGGAGGAGGAGGGGGAACTGGGCAGGGGGAGGAGGAGGTGCTGGGGGTGGAGGCCGCGGGAAGCACTTAAGCTCCAGAAACAAACAGGAAACATACACAGTGTTTCGTTGCTTCCCAAACCAAAAATGCAAGAAACAAAGATAAGCCTACACAGCTGCTCGTGGCACCGAGGACGCAAAACACTGTGCATGATTGTTTGTTCGCTTTTGCAACACAGAAGATGGAAGGAAAGAGGGAGGAGAAAAGGATAAGGAGGAATATGAGGAAAAATCAAAAAGGGAAATATAATCAAAAGGAAAGTTGTGCTTTGCAGGGAGGGGGACGGACAAGATTGAAGACGAGGATTGGTTGGAGAAGCGGGAGGGGGAAGGATTAACATAAGGGGGGAGATGCAGATGAATCTGATTCCAGATGAGTTGTATGATTATTTGGGGGGCGACCAGCCGCGATGAAGACGACGCTAACGAAATATCGATGAAGACGACGAGCAGGGATATGAAGAAGATGAAGGCGACAACGGAAGGAATAACATATAACATGTATGATCATGGGACAATCATTTTTTAATCAATAACATGTATGCAATTAAATGGATTTAACCATATATCGGAGGTGACGGGGTGAGATCGAAGTGAAACGGGGAGCCTCCCTACCGGGAAATCGGTTTCGGTTTTGTGTTCGCGCGTGCCGTGCGTGCGGGCGAGGCGAAGTTGCGTGGGCGGACGAGAAGAAGAGTCTCCTCTGGCTGAGGAGCGGCCCGACCAAATGATTCCTTTCCCGGGGACGGTGGCCCGCGGTGTCCCGCCTCTGGCTGGGACGCGGCCGGACCAAATGATTCCTTTCCGGGGGCTGGTGGCCCGCGGTGTCCCGCTGATGTCCCGCTGGTGTCCCGTCGGTGTCCCGATGATGATGATGATGATGGTGATGATGCCGATGATGATGATGATGATGATCATGACAATGATGATGGTAATGGTGGTGATGATGACGGTGTCAAGATGATGATGAGGGTGGTGATGTTGACGATGCTGATGATGATGGCCATGGTGGTGGTGATGGAGTCCCGATGATGATGATGATGTTGATGCGGTTGATGATGCTGATGATGATGGTGTCCCGATGATGATGTTGATTATCATAATAATGTTGATGATGATGATATGATGATGACGATGATGACGCTGATGATGAGGAATAGGATGATGATGATGGTATCCCGATGATGAAGGTGTCCCGATGATGTTGTTCATGATGCTGCTGATAATGCAAATGATGATGATGGTGATGATAATGATGGTGTCCCGATGTTGATGATGATGTTGATGATGGAGATGGTGACAATGATGGTGTCCCGATGATGATGTTTATGATGAGGATGATGCTGGGGTGATGATGATTTTGATGGTGGCCCGATGATGATGATGATGCTGATGTTGCTGGGGATGATGGTGTCCCCGTGATGAGGATGATGGTGATGATGATGGTGGCGATGGTGATGTCGTCCCGATGGTGATGATGTGGATGCTGATGTTACTGGTGATGATGTTGGTGTCCCGATGATGATGATGATGATGCCGATGATGTTGTGCATGATGATAATGATGAAAGTATGATGGTGGTGATGTTCCGATTATGATGGTGATGATGATGCTGGTGTCCTGATGATGGTGATGTTGACGTTGATGATGGTGACGATGATGGTGTCCCGATGAAGATGACCATGATGATGATTGTGATAATGGTATTGATGATGATGATGGTGATGAGGCGGTATGTTTCTGGTCCCCCGATGCTGATGGTGATGATGATGATGCCGAAGAGGGTCGCCGTGGCCGTAGCGTTCCTTCTCAGAAAAACTGACGGCGGCGATGACATGAAGCGATGCATCAAGACCACGAGTGGCGGCAGACACTGCAGGCATTACAGACGTCGAATTGCGAAATCAAGCCCTCAAGCGAGGGCGGGCGGGCTGGGGAGCTTGAGCACAAACATTTACAGATGTGCGGCCACTGAAACCCTGCCCAAGCACACTCCACACTAAAGTTGTTACCATGCCGAGGAGGGTCGCCGTGGCCATAGCGTTCCTTTTAGAAAAACCGACGGTGGCGATGGCAAGTAGCGATGCATCGAGACCACGAATGGCGACAGACACTGCAGGCAGCACAGACGCACTACATCATGGCCGAAGGCCGGAGAGACCATACATCCTGGACCGAGACAGATCATCTATAGTCTAAACAAGGGAGTCGGCCACCAGCTCTGCAGCTCGGACGGGGAAGCGCGCAGCTGTGCGGCGGCAAGCCACGCCTCTGGTCGCGCGGCCGTCGAATTGTAAATGAGGTCGCCCCGATCCCGAGCACGCTTTGCCACGCAGACTGCAACGAGCGTTGAGGCGCTGGAGCTGAGGACAGCGCCAGCAGAACACTCGCGTGGCCGAGCGGGCTGCCGCTCCGAATTGGCAGAGGTCTAAGTCAACTTGAAGAAACGACGGGAGACTGACTAGAGTCCGAAACTCAGGCAACGCAAAAATGAAGCTGGCACGCGGGTGCTCAGGACAGGCAGGTACAGACAAGTCGACGCGGGCACGAATGGCTCTGAGGGCTGCGCGCGTCTCGACATTGTCAGTCACAGACGTCGGGGGCTGCGACCGCAGGCTAGCGGGCGTGGCCCGACCCCAAGGGCCAGACACTGCGCGGACAGGCGGGGGCCCAGACTCGACCCAAGACCCGCGTGGCAAAGAGAGCCAGCAAGCACAGACCGCAGACGAACGAACCCACCCAAGGAGTCGATCGACGACGCCCTGCTCGCACAGCGCAAGGCCCACATTTCGACCTGCACCCAGCGAGGGACAACCCAAACCGCGACGGCGCAGCGCTTTGCACATGGCGGCCCCGCGGGGCCCAACCACCGGCAAAACGAGCCGGCGGCGACGGGGCGCCCGCGCAAAGGCACGTCGGAAGGCAGCACGCATGCGCGAACCTACTTTCTGGACAGAACGGGCGCCCGCTTCGCGACCCGCGGCAGGGCGGGCGCCAGCTGGAGCGGCACTGGCAGCGGGAAGCTGCCCTTCACGCACTTGATCTCGATCAGCTCCGAAAGCCTCGCGAACGCCTGCTCGCCGAACTCGGCGATCTGAGGCGGGAGGTCCCTCATCCGCTGCTGCAAGCGAGTCCTCTTGCCGTGCCTCCTCAAAGATTTGTCTGATAACCATCTCCCCCTCTCCTTGGCCTCCGCTATCGTGCGATCACCCGAGAGCAAGACGCGCGAGGCCCCCCCCTGACGGAGGGCGCACGAAGACGGGGACTCCTTCTGCAGCCCCAGCTCGCGCAAGGCCCGGCGGAACATCGCGCGCGCGTCGGCGGGCCTGAAGTTCCAGGGGCTGGCGTCCGCGGGCGCGTTGAGCGTCAGCGCGCGCGGCGCGGGCCAGAGCTCGGGGGCGTCGACCAGCACCGACTCGCCCATCACCCCCGTCTTGCCATGGCGGCCCGACTTCGCGTCGTTCACGATGATGCCCCCCGCGTCGAAGCCCGACCCTGGGATCGGCGGCGCCAGCGAGCCCACGCGCAGCCTGTGGGCCTCCGACGGCCCGAGGTACGCGTGGAAGGCCAGTGCCACGCAGACCGCCATGCTGGGCAGGTTCATCCAGATGAGCCAGCCTGCGACTGCCATCGCGGCCGAGCGAGGAAGAGGCAGGCGCATCTGCGGCGGCACCAGGCGGCGCCACCCATCGAGGGCTCGCGCCGACCGCGGGAGCGGCCGCTTCCCGACGAGGATGTGCGGTAGGAACTGGCGCAGCGCCGCGACCGTCATCCTCCCCGTCGCTGCGTCGAAACCGTCCAGGGCCGAGTCCGTCAGGAAGTACACGAGAACGCTGCCCAGCTGGCTGGCGGTGGTGAAGTCCAGCTCGTGCCAGCCCAACCATTCCAGGAAGCGCAGGGCGTGGCAGCGGTACCGAGCCCGAGCAGGGTCCGACACCGCTGAGCTCTCGAGGAAGCTGAGGGCCCCCCCGAACAACTCCTCGGCCCGAGGGTGAACCGCCGCCTGAGCCACTACGATCGGAGCAGCAGTCTGCTTCAGGGAGGGGGCGATCTGCCGAGGAGAGGCGCGCCACCTCGAAGCTTTTGCCGTGGAAGAAGCCATGGCGAGATGGCCCGTCCGCAACGTTCAGCCCAGAAGGTATCCACCGCACATAGCACCGAAGGTTGGTGGCCAGCGCGAGCGCGGAGATCCTCCGCAAGGGTCGCCGAAGGGTAGGCTCGCGGCCTCGACCCTTGCCAGCCGCCAGAGCCAACGGTAAATTATCTACGAGAAACAGAAGGCGATGGTGATGAAGCGCAACGTCGCGGGTGGCGTGCCGAACTGCGTCGCACAGCGCGTCGCCCTCGTGCTCTAAAATGTTCTTGAACGGGCTCCAGTGCCTCCTGGAGATCACGGTGACCCACGACGAGACCTGCATGAGCTCCTCGGGGATCTCGTTGAAGCCCTTGCAGAAGCCCTCAGGGTTCGAGCCCAAGAAACCCTCGGTGATGTCGAAGTCGTCGGGGGCCCCTCCGAGACCCAGCGCATTCGAACGTGCCGCAACCGCCGAAATACAACGATATCTCCACCTCTCCGCCTGCCTCCCAAGTTCGGCCACCCGAGGCCCGACCTCCTTGCGAGTGCACGCGCCCGCGCCGACAGGAGAAGCGTCCGAAGCCGAGACGTGGGGGCCCCAGGGGCTGTTCATGCGCGAAGTCCATAAAGGTAACGTACTGGCCACACACCAAAGCTCGAACTTGACGGGGGCCCACAGGGGCCTCACTCCAGGGCCCTTCTGGGACTTAAAGGCGGAGACAAACGACAGGATGCAGAGGGTCTCTCTTATACAGATCATCGCCCACGTGATGTGGCCCAGAAGGACTTCGAGCATGCGAGGCGAGGCGGCGCCTCGCCGCAAGACCGCCAGCAGCGCCTGCCGAAGGCGCATGACGCTAGCAGGCTTCACCCTCACGGTCCCAAGGTCGCCATTGATCTCGAGTCCCGTGAAGTCGGATACGGCCGAGGCGGCGTCGAGCGAGTGGACAGGTAGCCCCCCGAGCCTCCAGCGCGCGAGTCACCTCATCCCTCTTGGAGGCGACGGCGATGGGGTCGTCCCCCCACGATGGCGAAGTTGTCGACGTAGCCCGCGGCTGCCACGCTGTCCTTGGCAGAGAGGACGGGGCTCGGGCGGCCATCCCCGATGAGGCCACCGTCGTCGAACCCGCAATGGACGACGGCCCTCCTCATGATGCTCTGGCAGAACAGCAGCGACCAACTCCAGCCCATCGGCAGGACCCGCACCATCGGCTGGAGGAAGCAGTCGGAAGGGATGGGGAGGCCGTCGAGCTGATTGGCATTGAGCAAGCGATTGGAGATGGTGGCCAGCGTAAACAGCTCCTCCATGCCCTTCGGCACGAGCATGTGGTAGAAGGCGCGCTGGATGTCGCCCTGGGCCAGCACCGCGGGGTGGCCCGACTCCAGGGCGGCCCGCGCCGCCGCCGTGGGGGGCGTGGTCTTGGGCGGCGCCGCGAAGCCCTCGTTCGCCACCCTCGCGTCGAAGACGAGGCGAAGCGTGCCCTTGCCAACCTTCTCGGCAAAGAAAAACCCAAGCTATAAGGATCACCAACCCGCGCCACGCGGACAGAGATCATACCGCCCTGCAGCAACTCCCCCACGAAGCCGGCGTAGGCCCTGGGGCCGTTGCCCAAAATCGGGTCGACGCAAGGGCGCTGCGGCACCGAAGCCGCACTCAGATCTGAAGCAGACGACTCACCCTTGAGCATGGTCCGTCTCCATCCCGACAAACACTCGCGCTCGGCCTCCCCGACGAGTTCAGCGACATCAACTGGGGCCGTCGAAAGATCAGGCCAGGACACCAGGTCCTTGTAGGGCTTGACGCGCTGGGAGTCAGAGGGGCACCCAGGCGCCGACGCGAGCAGCTCTGTCAAGGCTGCTTCGCCCGAATGAGCGTCCTCATGATATTCAGGAGGAAGCGGAAAATGTTCATAGGCCCGAGAGATGCGATCCATCGCACTCGCCTGCGCCGCCGAGGCCGTTAACCCAGGCGGGGCAGACGCAGGAAAGAAGCGGCCGCTCAGCTAGTTCAGGGCTGCGATGCCGCCGCGCCGCGCGCGCTGGCGCCCCCGACGGCTGCGGCGAGCTTCCACGCGAGCGCCCGCCGCCAGAGCAGGTAAGGGGAGCACATCACGCTGACGAACTCCATTGTCCATCGCGACAACACTGGTGGAGGCGCAGCCCCCACGAAAAAGCAGGACTCGCCCGGGCGGCGCCGAACCGCCTGCACCCGCCTGGGAGAAGCTCTCGAGAGGCTATGCGCGCTCCGCCCGCTCCTCGCGGGCTTTGCGCCTCTCATTGGCAATGGCGGCCTCCGCCTTCAACTGGTCAGCGATGAAGTCCGCGAGGGGTGGCGCGATGCGCAGGTTGCCCTTGCTCGCCGACGCCCCCAAATAGTGGTCCGCCTCCACCGCCAGCAAGCTCTCGCCGGCAGCTTTGGCGCTCTTGTCCTTCCCCGCCTGCTTGTCCTCCGCGGCCACCTGCGCGGTGACGGTGTCCTCGTCCTCGTAGTGCTGCTCCTCGATGAGCTGGATCTGGCGGCAGATCAGCTCGCACGACTCAAACACCGCGCAGTTAACCTGGTCGTAGCAACTGCCTAGCGCGAGCAGCCTGCAGTTCATCTCGTGCTGCTGGCAGATCGAGTCCGCGTCGCGCAGCCTCGCCTCCGCCTTCCACTTGGAGTGCCACGCCAGCGGGCCGCCCGCGTCGCGCCTCATGTGGTCGAAGCACCACTGTGTCGTCCGCGGACCTTTGATCGGCCAGTCCGCCTGGGGCGTGGAGGAGGCCAGCAGGGCCGCCGTGGCGAAGTCCAGCGCCCGCCGCCCAGCCGAGTCGCGCACTATCGGGTGCACGCGGCAGTCCAGCAACGTAACCCGCTGATGATATACTGCGGGGCCTCCCACACGATATCGAAAGGCGTGCACATCACCTGGCCGTGGCATTCTGAATGGCGGCCTTCGCCTGCTGCGAAGCCAACAGGCGAAGCTGCTCGACCGACGGCGCCAAGCCCTCCGCGCCCGCACTGACCGCCTCCGAAGGGACTGAGGCTCTCACACCCGCAGCCTGCGACCCCCAGCTCCAGATCGCGGGCACCACGAAGACGCCCACCAGCAGGCCGAGGAAGAAAAACACGGTGTGGAAGCACCAGCCCGTCAGGACCTGCAGCGCGTGGGGCCCGTCGGTGTTCGGGCAGGGTGCGCTGTACGTCGGGGAGCACTCGCACGAACAGGCAGGGCACGCGGGAGACGATGAGGGCGTGGCCGACCACACCACCAAGGCCTGCGAGGCGCCGCGCAAGAGAACCGAAAGGAAACGCGTGGCGGCGGCTTGCCTGCCCCTCAAAAGCTTGAGCACAAACATTTACATATGTGCGGCCACTGAAACCCTGTCCCAGCACACTCCACACTAAAGTTGTTACCATGATGATGTTGATGACGTTGATGACCATGCTGTTGATGAGGATGATGATGACGACGTTGATTGTGAGATCGATTGTGGTATCGGTAGTGAGATAGATAGTGTGACCGAATGTGAGATCGATGGTGAGATCGATAGTGGGATCGATTGTGAGATCGGTAGTCAGATCGATTGTGAGATCGATCGAATGAAATAGATCGAGTGTGATCGATTGTGAGATCGATCGAGTGAGATCGATCGAGCGAGACCGATAGTGAGATCGATCGTGAGACCGATCGAGTGAGACGTTGGTTCCTCCCCCCAAACCTCCTTATCACCCGAAGGGTGGTCGTATAGGTGTGTATATATATATGTATGTATGTATCACTGACTGTGCGGGGTCTATGATTGCAACTATTGCGTTTCAAATGATGGCAAATGTGATGTATAATTGCGATTATCAATTGTCCTCATGACGTGGGTTGTAGCACCATCGTGCGCTGGTCCACCGAAGCCATTCAATGACACATGCAACATCATGAGGGCTGACAGTGGCTTCGTGCTGAGGAACGGAGTTCGCGCACACACACACACACACGGATAACCACACACACACACACTGACTTACACACAGACGATTAACGATGTCAAAAAACAAGCCCAGGGAGGAACACAACAAATTCAGTTTCATGCCGCTGGGAGATATTAAGGAGAGGGCGGTCACACAATCTCAATGACGCTGACTGTGATGCCCACTTGCAGGCCCGGAGCGAAAATGATGAATCATCGCCCAGGGCACCGCCGCTGTGTTGCAGGCCCCCTGGGGACACTTCCCAATCGCAGTGCTGCGCCAGGGGGGGTGTGCAGGGCGCCTGGAACGCGCCAGGATGCCAGGGCGCCCACGCACTGCGGGCCAAGACGCCCATCCTCCTGAACCGCCAGCGCGGACCCAGGCTTTAAGTCGGGCGTGTCCCCCTACATGGAGATCTTGGGCGAAAAATTCAAAATACTCAAACATATCCCCTCCCCCCCCCCAAATGCTCAAAAATGATACAGAAATCATCCCCACACTTTTTTTTTGTTGCTATCTTTGCATATCCCCCCTGTCGAGGGACACGCCCGACTGAACCCAGGCTTCCAACGCCTGCCACACAAACACCTCGCGACCAGCCCCCGCGGCCCGAGGCCCAGCCAGCCCCCGGCCGAGACTCGGCCTCGGCCTCGGCCGCCTCGGCGCGCCGTGGCTCCGAGGGGCCGCGGGGCCGAGGCCGGGCCGAGAGGCCCCGCCGGGGGGCGCGGGCAAGGCCGCCTAGCACCGCGGCGGCGGCCGCCGCGCGGCCCAGCGGCCGCGCCGCGCGCGCCCGGGGCCGCGCGGCGGGGGCGCCGGCAGCGCCCATCGGCGGCGACCCTGCCGCGGGCTGCGGGTGGGCGGCGGCGGCGGCGGACAGCAGGCAGAAGAGCGGCGGCGGCGGCGGCGAGGACAGGGACGGGGGCGCAGAGGAGGACGGGGGCGGCGGCGAGGACACCGCGGACGAAGGCGCCGGGGGGGCGGCCCTGCTCGCGGGCCGTCTTCGTTGCGTCCGCCATCGTCGCTGCCTCTGCATGATACCATCCTTCAGATATGAAAAATTCGGAATCAGGAGCGGCAGGCATAACTACACTTTCCTTACACGTCCCCTGCTCATCCCTGTGACAAATGCTCACAAATACCGCGCGATTCCTCACGGTACTCTCCCCATATTCCTCCTCCTCCCACCTTGAGAGATGCTATATTCACCCATTGTTTGGCGTGATGGGATCCTTTTCCTAGGGAAATTCCCGGTGCCAGCGAGAAGTCCCACCAACGTCGTCATCAACATCATCGCCGTCGTCCTTCCGCGGTGGAGCTTAAGTCTCACTGCGATCATCTCGCTCAGATGCCCTGCAACACACACAGTAAGACAAATACAGGTAGACGCACGTGCACAATGCACACACACAGACGCGTCCGCACGCATGGGTTCCTCCAGCAGCCGCGGTGGAAGGGCGCGAACGGGCCCGAAACGAAACGTGCCCTCGAAACAACAGCAGGCCTGGACCACGAAGCCCCGTCGGGAGACTCTCCATGGGGGGGGATCCCATGGGGGGATATGATCCCAGGGGGGGGATCCCATAGGATCCCCTGGGGATCCCATGGGGGGGCAGGAGGGGATCCCATGGGGGGGATCCCCTCCTGCCCCCCCATGGGATCCCCCCCCATGGAGAGTCTCCCGACCCCGCCCACCGTGGCGAGGCCGAGCGCGCCATCCCGGGAAGGGGGCGGTTCGACCTGTTATCACACGGGGAACGAGGCGCACGTCTGGGGGGTCGATGGTCGTGCAACTGACGTGCTCTGCCCCGGCGCCGGCGGCCGCACGACGCGGGCTGGGACAGGGCGAGTTGCACGCTGACAAGGGATCTGTCGACCCCCATCCTGGGCCTCGTGGGATGTTCCAAAGGAACATCAATTTTGGCCCAATCCTGGGATATTAAAACAGGGCTAGGATCGGAATAAATCGCTCCAGAGCGTTCCGGAGCGCTCTCAGAGCGTTCCGGAACGCTCTGGAGCGGCCGAGGCGCCCAATACATCCTCCAAACCCGACGATTCTCAGAGATTTCGAGTTATCCCGATCCGATTTTGTCCCGATCTTCGCGTCGTTTTAGATCTACGATGGGGCGCGTCCGTCGTGGACAGGGATGCGTCAAAGTAGCCCCCTCGAGGTGTGTCCCAGGGTTGCCCTCCTTGCTTCTGAATGGCCGACCCTTCCGGGCGGACGCAGGGAATGAGGAAGGAAAAAACAACATGCGACACGCCGCAGGAAGCGGGAGAGGGAAGAGGGCGGCCGCGGAGAGGGGGCTGCGTGCAGGCAAGCAGAGTGCTCAGACCGCGAAGGCCTTCACGCCGGCGTGTGGCGGCCCAGGCCACCGGTCGGGGTCGACAACGCCAACCACACGCCGCAGCTGGGAACCACATTGGCGCGAACCGCTGAAAAAAAACGTGTCGTCGTTGAGGGGCAACGATCGGTGGGGACCGAGCCAAGTGTGGTGGGGGCCATCGAGCTTGAACCGGCGGCGCATCGCTGAGACATGGGCGATCGTCCCCCGATGGCGGATCCTCGCGATCCTGGGTGGGGTGGGTTGTCGGGCCCTCTCGGCGATGATAGGGAAATTGCCACCAACGATGAATCGGCGGTGGGTGGGCTGTCGGCGCTGAACGCTTCTTCCCTCGCGGACGTCGCGGGAGCTCGCGCTTTTGGGCGCCAAGGCCGCGCGCGCAGCGGCGCGGCGAAGGTCGGGCAGCAGGCAGAAACAGACGGCGAGAGCGCGCGCGGGGATCCCCACGCAGCAGCCAAGCCCGGGGGGGGGGATGGCGCGAGGCCCGCCCACAAGGAACCACGCCACGGGGGGAGCT